TCGGATTTTTTTTTACAACTATCTGATAACGGATTAAAAGAGAGTAAAACTTCGTTTTATCTATCGATGTACATATACATATATAACTATATATATATAAATGTGTACATATTGTTCGTCAAATATTCCACCCGTATGTATATATGCATAAAATATCTCGTAGCTTTGGGGTATTAAATTCGGTAGTAAATCTTACGTATAAATATAATAAAAAAAAAAAAATTCATGTACATTATATTATACCCCCATTTGACGACCTGATTTTTGAAGTTATAGCAAATTCTATGTTGAAATAATTCTATCAATATATATGTGCCGTTGTAAAAATAATAAAAATTTCTACACATTAAAATATAAATGAAATTAATATATAATAATATAATAATAATAATAATTATAAAATGAAATGAACTTCTCTAAACAATCGTTGATAAAATCTATTTAATTTAATAATTATTTAATGAAAGATTAAAATCTATTAACGTGAAATAAATCTTTCAACTCTTCCCTCTTCCAACCCTTCCTTAAAATTAAACAATATTAATATATAATAATATAATAATATAATAATAATAATATAATAATAATAAATGAAATGAAATGAACTTCTCTAAACAATCGTTGATAAAATCTATCTATAATCTAATATTTATATATTAAAAGATTAAAATCTATTAACGTGAAATAAATCTTTCAACTCCCCCCACTTCCACCCCTTCAAAAATTAAACAATATTTATTGCTTCCAAACGTTTTATTTGAGAGGAACAAAAAAAAATAACATGGATTGTTTTCGTGATACTTAAACGTGTTGAAAAAGTTCGAATCAAACACAAACTCGATAAAAATATTTATATATGCGTATGCATCGCAGTAGAAGAAATATTTGACGAGTGGGTTAGATGATATTTGTTTTTGTTTTTGATGTTCTAGAAAATGCATGTGACGGCTCTATGGACTGCTTTTATTTTGGCTCAGTCGAGCAGATTGCTCGTCGAAGGTATTAGGCCACGTTACGTCGATTCTATGTCAACGCAGATGACCGAAGTGGGTGATAATCCTATGGATGATATCAGAGAACCAACGTGTAAAGAATTACGTACGATATGGAGGTATACCAAACGTCAAAGTAGGGCCATCCAAGTTATGAACAAATTACCGTTCTTACAAGATTTCTTCGCGTATGACGCGTGGAATAATTATCCGGCACCACCTCAACCCTCTGTAGATTATCGAGGTAAGAAATTAATCTAATTTTAATAAGAAATGTATATATATATATATATATGTATGTTTGTGTGTGTATATATATGTATGTTAACTTAGTTAAATTTAGTTAGTAGTATCTTGTCACTTCAATTATATTATTTCAATAATTTTGTATTAAAGAACAATGATTGATAAGTTTTGTAATATGATTTATATACATATATTATATATATAATCATATATATTAATAATAATCATATATTATATATAATATTTCTCGTTTTCGTTCATTTTATTTGAAAGGA